TGTACAAGTTTAATGTTTTCAAACATACGACTCGTGTCGGAGTTGATATTAACGCTCCGTTCATTTATTCGTCCAATTCTAAACTAAAGCTTACTTCTAAACCTAAACCGAAAGTTAGCCGGCTACATATGTATTTAGATACATATGTATGTATGTATAGGCCAGTCCAATCTTGGCAACATATTTTGGACCGGCCTTCTAAAATGCTTCTACTTCCTTCTTCTGGTGTGCAGGGTGGTTTCATAGAGAGGAAGGTACTAAAAACATACATATGTATGTATGTAAGTATCGGTTTTACATCTGCCCTTCAGCTGAATTCACGCGAATGAGACCCATAACCAGCTTGTGTAACGCTATCTCCACGATATGCCGATTAGTTTTTTTTTGCCGCAGAAGGAAACTGTGTCAATCAACAATGATGCTACATGCCTGTTATTCCAAAACCCCATTATGTACATACATACATATGTACATTGGCAAATGATTGTGTGCGAGATCAGCGAAAGATACGCTACTCATAGAGGAACCCACAAAGCCGTATTGAAGTTAACTGATAAGAGGCCAAATATATGTACATATGTATATTATAAAAGCCAGCTGCAAATTAACATACAAACGTACATATGTACAATATAGTTGTGTGTGTAATTATTTGCTTTGTGCTCCAATGTGTTGGACATAGGGAACTAAGCCCATATCAATTGACGTCAAGTGCGGGGCAGGGATGTTTTCATTTTGCTGCATGTATGTACATACATATGTATGAGTATGAGTACATATACAATGATCAATCTAAGCCGAAACAAAGAACTTATTGCGCGACTTGAATTAACATCTGCACTTGACTCATATTGCAAAATGTAACAACATCGAATCAGCCAATAGTATACATTGAATAGTATGAATGCACTTGTATGATATACACTTGCACGTGTATATCTGATACACCCTAATCTTGGACTTTGGGCAACGGCTATCAGGGGACAACAATGGCAGCCCATAATAAATATGACTCCCACATGATAAGAGACCGGTAAAGGTAATTTCTGTAGATAAGCCATGAAGCTTTACATACGAATTCGTATTCATATGTACATTTGTACCGATGATGAATTGCTGTTAATAATTCTCAAATTTCTGATAGCAGGAGAGTAGGAAGCTTGAGGGTCGGCCATTGGCTCTTATTAACTAAATATCAATACAATATGTACATATACCTATTTGTGTTTAGAAGTCCCGCTACAGAAGTCGCCCCTGCTCCCCAGACTGTCTTTGCTCTTGAACCCCAAAGAAAATCCATCAAAACAAGGCGATTTACACCGACTGATAACACCTCGTGGAATAGGCCCAGTCGCTTGGCAGTGTCAATGCAGGGCAACTTAACTATTGCAATGGGAAAATTGAATAACAAAATTAGATTATCTCTACACAAAAGGTACACGAATGACTTCTTCGCGAGCCAAGTGCTCCGGCACTTAGTCGCACTTTCCTGTGTTTTAACGGTTAATAAACAAGGCTATAAGAGCGCAGTTTTGTATGTTGATCGTTTCCTAAAGCAACCTTGACTGGTATCTCCAGGTAACTGCGGAAATTAAAGTGGCTTTTAAAATGAAAGATCCCACTGACCTGTGCGTGTGTCTAATGCATTGCTTTACCTGTTAAATATCACCTGTTGAACACAGGCTGTCGAACTTTCTTGATAGGCGAGACAAAAGTGGTTTCAGAAATAAGCGTCCACAATATCAGGTAGGAGGAGGAAATGTGAAATGAGAGTCCATTGAGAGGAGATCCAAATGTGCAAAAGGGAACAATTCAGAGTGATGCACCATCGACAGCGAGGGGTGATGATCATCCATGGCATCGACAAGAACATTCAAGACGATTGATTATTTTAACGGTCGAACGCTGCTGACGTTATTCCCCGCCGACTACTCTGCCCGACACGATTTTTCCTCAAGGAACCAAATCAACTTTTTCTGAGAGATATGGGGCTTATAATATGGGCTGAAGATATATTTTTTGTTCTATGCCAAAAGTTTTTTATTAGGAATTTTTAAAAACTGCTATTTTTATTTAAACCTCTTGAGCGTTTAAAATAGCACCATGAAAATAGTTTTTTCTTTCAGATATTTTGTTAAAACAATGGTTCTAATGAAGGCTTTTAAAACTATTATATCAAATTTGAGGCTTAATTCAACTTATCCGAGAGAGATGGTATGCTTTGATGGCTTTAGTTGGAAATATTTGGAAGGAAAAGGAATTATTCCGGCATTTGGCCGGCAACAAAAAAAGCAACAATTTCATAAAAGCTCAAAAAACTGAAAATTTAACAGAAGTTTCCACAATTTTCATTACCATAGTTTACTTTAATTGTTTTCAAAGGTTAATAATATGTTTTAAAGCTTTTGGCAGCAAATTCTGAGAGTCCTGTCATAAAATCGAAACTTATTTTCGCGTCTTTCCTGGGGGATTCATCTCCACAAATCTGGCAGAACCCCCAAATGTCACACTTTTTTTTTATTTCGTATTAGCAACATATTCGTTAACTGTTCCCCAAAGATTTTACGGATTTTATGGTTCATATCTGGGGACTTAGCAAGAGAAAACATTCCATAAATGTCACTGTTTTAAAACCCATTAGAGCTCTCTATCTGGTCTGTTTTGGGTCATTTCCCTGATGAAAAGACACAACTCAATGGCATTTTCTATTGCATATAACGCAGCATTATTGTTTTATCATATAATAACAAAGACATGTTGATTCATCATCGATTCCAGCACGGGAACCACCTCCATAATACGAAAGGCATGCACATACCATGATTCTTGTCTCAGCATGATTATTAGATATAAAAATGTGTCAAAGGGTTGTGTTTTTCATTAGGTAGTCGTTTTACATAAGATCTAAAGTTTTGGCAACAAAAAACTTTGGCTTCCTCCGGATCACAGGATCTATATACATATATATTTTGGGCCAACTCCAGTGTTTTTTCTACCTTTTATTTACTTTGCCCCATGTCTTTGCTAAACTGGATTTTTTTCTCAGACTTCGAAAACTTAATTTATATTCTTTTAAGCTAAATCTAGCTTCGCTTTAAGCTCTGTGGCCGGCTTAAAAGGACCCCTCTTGCTCTCAGGAACCAGCATTTCAACCGAAATGGGTATATTGCGCCAGTTCTTTCACGAGTTTCTTGTTGGATACATGTGTTAAAGCAATACGAATTATTTTAGATGAGGAACCTACTATTTTCCTCGCATAAGGATTGATTTCTTCTTTTAGAGTTAATATTTTGATCCTTTGGCTTTTTTCTTCCCTAAAGTGCTCTCGACGACCCAAAACAACTAATATTTTTTAACTATCTGTTTACAAACGACTTAATCTACCGATTATTATATCAACTAAAAACATTATATATTAAAAAGCTGGGAAAAGTAAAAGTTTATATAAAATACAAATTTTGGTGCTATTTTTGTTGCCGTTCAATTTCGCTTCTTTTTGTAAGAGTAAGGTCACCTTTCTCAGATAGAAGACATCGCAACCTACTTTATATTACTTCAAAAATTTGTGTATAGAACCCATTTTTGTAAACAATAAAGACTGTTGTACCACGCGGTGCTATTATTTTCGCCGCAACTGTACATCTACATCACGCTCATTTAGCTCGCCCCCACCCCTAGGGCCACACACTGCCCGAAACAGAGTGTGGAATGAGAGAATGTGCAAAAGATAAGCTGTTGGACATTCTGGCTATAATAATGATCCAATCGAATCCCAATTTGGTGATCTGATAGATATGGTCATTCCCTACGGAATGGTATTTTTAGTTTTCTCTTTTACATTGTGGATACAGCAGATTTTCGCCCTTTGTGGAGGAGGAAGGGAGCGGGGCGAATTTTTGAAATACACTTAACACGCTTCCTTGAAAAAAAAGATCGATTTTGTCGTGTAGTGTTATAACTGGCGACCGCGTGCCAGTGCTCCCTTGGTCAAATGATAAGGCCGTATTCCATTCATACACACATACAAACTTACATATTTACTTATTGCACAAAACCCATGAGTAATACTCCGACATTTGTTTTTGATCTCTTCCCACTAGTTTGTCACCTTTGTTTGATTGACATTTTTATACCCGGTACTCGAAGAATAAATAGGGTATATTGTATTTGTGCACAAAGTATGTAACGTACAGAAGGAAACGTTTCCAACCCCATAAAATATATATATTCTTGATCAGCATCAATAGCCGAGTCGATTGAGCCATGTCTGTCTGTCCGTCCGTCTGTCCGTCCTGATCAGCGCCTAGTACTCAGAGACTATAGCAGCTAGAGCCACCAAATTTTGCATCCACTGTTACAAGTGTATTTCAAAATGAGGTATATCGTTATGGTATAAAGTGTATACCCATTATACAAACGGAGCGTTACACAAATATACGAATACCCACAAATACATTTAAATATATAAAGCAATATCAAGACTTATAAATATCCCATCCCACAGTTGTACATAGACTTTAACAATAACAACACATTCCTAAATAAGTTCCGTTGAACGCGCCTCTCAAACAAAACAAACAGCTCGACCTTCAGCATGTATGTATGTATGTACATACATACATATATGTGACAGCGTACGAATGTAGATTCCATGTGTACACATATATGCGCTTGTTTTGTGTTACCCGCCCCTTTATTTGTTTCGTTGTTGTCGCTCTACAAAAATGCGTTGTCCCTGCCCATGAAACATGTTTTCGTGTGGATTTCAGCTGCGTCGTAGTTTTCATGGCAGAGACGAGCCCCCTCGACAATTTGGAGCACTCACACACAATATTAGGTTCCCGAAGGAACTTCCTTGTGACCCACAAACACGAAACGGGCAATCAAATGACGAGTCACTGAACTGGAGTCAACTGTTCTTTGTTCATAAATATGTACATATATTTGCATTTATGTACATTCATAAGTGCAGGCGGCATAAATCAAAACATAAAACTCACCTAATGGCAAATCACAGAGCAAGCAACATGCTGCCAGGGAACCGGCCGAAGCTCCACCAATTTTCTCTAGCAATAGGTGTGGAGCATACTTCTTGAAGCAGACGGCGACTCCAACGTGGTAGATACCCAAGAATCCGCAACCAGCAAATGATAGATTCATGCTTTGAATACTATGTATGTGCGTATGTATTTCGACTGAGAAAAAGTTGAGGTTTTTTTCTATTGCAAGTTTGTTCGTTCTTGTCTTGCCCTTTCTTCTCGCACTTTCCAATGAAATGTTTGTTTTTTGTCTTTTTCTTGTTTACAATTTTCCTGAGCAGCTGGTTTGCGATTAAATTTCCGAATGTGCAATAGCTCTCGTTGTGTTATTCGTTATGTGTTATGTTATCACTTCTCTTTTTTTTTTATTCAATCACTACAGCGAAAATGGATGTTATCACTTCAATAATAAAATTATTTCTGGCCCGCACTTGCGATGTTTCTGTGTGTCTTCCCGTTATTTGTATTGTCGATTCCAGCTGACCGCGGATTTATCGATTAAATATACCGTCTGACCCTCAAAAATATACCAAAATATACGTTCTCATTTTTTATATATACCGTAAGTAACCAAATCCAACACAAAACGGGTTACTCACTTTTGATATTCCTTTTAAAATTATCACCTAACGGCAGGTATCCAGCATCGCCGAAAAAAAATGCCTGCCAAACTTCAAATAAAAAATAAACCGAACCCTACATTTTTTTTTTTAATGTTGTGACTAGCTCAGCATCATAGCACTAACCAAATATTATAGTGGACTATCAGAACTAACCAACTAGTATAGTAGATTGTTAATTTGAGCCAAGCGAAACATCACCTCAGAATGTGCGTCGCGAAGTCCCAGGCATCTGCCAACGTCGCAGCTACAAGTATTAGTGCGTGTAGAACGCACAGCTAGAAGTCCCAGCTACAAGTGTATTAGTGCATAGCACGCAGCTAGCAGTCCCAGCTACATTTGTATAAATGCGTGTAGCCAAATATTTTTTAGCGCTTTAAACCGGTTCTGTCTTGATTCACACGGAGACTGCAAGTAATGTACGTGTTGGTGCGCTGACTTTCTGAACTGCGATGGAACGAAAATTCGTTTTGATGATTTGATTTTGTTTTCGGGGCTTGGCGTATGAACCTGACCTGCCACAACATGTGCTGAATGAGGGGTGGGGGTTGGTGGACGGACCCTTGGGGGTTGGAAAAAATAAATATACCAATAAAAGTCGTTATTGTAATTGTATGCTGTAATTTTTGTATATGCAGATTTTATACTGCTTTATTCAAAATTGTATGCATATATTATGGAAACGCCTTCGCTGCTCGACTTCGTTGCTGACGTCTTATCAACATTGTTACCAAATCCAGATAAATATAAAAACATATATATGTATATATGCATATATGTAAACACATGTATGTAGATACAACTTTCCAATTCCTGTTCTCGTCGTCGGTTATGTTAGCGCTTGAAACCGTTTGCATTTTTTTTTGTATTATTCTGAGCTCACATACCCTTCAAAATGAAAACCCTCAAGACTTTATGAAGAAGCTTGCCCCTCAATATCAAAATAAATTGATTTTATGTGACCCTTATATGATTTATATAATTTAGGATGAAACGGATATAAACATCTAAATATGTATACAAATAATGACTTAGGCAACTGACTTTGCGTTGCAAATATTTTCCATTAGAGTATTCAGAGTCACGGTGTGAACATGCATGGCGTTTTGACGGAACGGGACATGGAGACATGTTTGCTGGCAAGGCGGCTGCCTTGCACATGTACACACACATTAACACTTGCACATTTTCCTCCAACTCCCAAATTGTTGTCCAAATCTTGATTTGCCGATTTATCTTTCAACTTCAGCGGCATTGTTGCCTCCATTTACTCTCTTTACTCTCTTTAATTTACTCTCTGTTTGCTAGGAACCCTCTCGTAAATTAAAACAGATATATATTTTTCGAGCTGCTAGCAACATACCAACGAATATCACAAAATACTATCGTCTGACTTTCTAGATTTTTTTCGGCCTGTTTTTTGTCGATCTGAGTACTGCCTGGCGTACAGCTGCTAGAAAGTAACTTGTGGGCACACAAATTTCTTATCGGTTCCATACGAATATCATCCCTGATTTTTTTGAGACCCCTTATTTTCGATCTGAATACTAGGCTTTACTCAGCAATTGGTACTTGGATTTCTGGCAATTTCCGTTACTGCCATACCGAAATCGCGATAGTGGGGCTTTGCTACGCGCATCTCTAGTGAGTATACATCTAACAAATTTTCCATCTCTATACGAATTCGCTGTGAAGCTTGCAAAAATACGTACTCATGAAAAAATGGAACTAGCCAGAAAATTGCGTGAAAGCGGATGGTAAGTGAGCCATAAAAATCTCGAAATCGATAGACACTAACCGCTCACACAGGCACCTAACGGACGACGGCATCAAGACTCTCACCGCCGCTGTGGTGGGTGAGGACACTCGCAAAATTATTGATGAGGCACTGAACGTGAGTTAGTAGGCGGACCGGCTGACAGGCGTCTAAAAGCTGTTCTTATTGATTTCAGCGCGATATCCGCGACATTGGCGGTGGAGCTCTACCTGTTAAGCGCGACGATGCCCCTATTGCCGGCTGCATTGTACTGCAGGTTCAGCGGGTCCGTAATATTGCTGCTCCCAAGTGCAACGAAGAGTCAAAGACGGCGCCGCGCCTCTTACAACTGGACTTGACCGATGGTCAGAATTGCATACAGGGTCTGGAGCTGGAATCGGTGCCGGCGCTCAATCTGAACGTGGCGCCCGGCTCAAAGATCTACTTCAAGGCGGAGAAGCTGCAGCTAATGCAGGGATTCCTCCTGCTGCGTCCCAACGAACTGCAACTGCTGGGTGGTCGCGTCGATGCAATGTACGAGAAGTGGGATCTGGCCCGCACCATGCTCAAATATGCTCGATGCGGGCGTCCGTTGAACGGAACGTCCGTTCCGCCGCCCTGGGTGGCCTTTGGCAAGAAATTCGACTCGACGACTGACCGCAATTTTAGGAGCCACGCCTTAAGCGATAAGGACAAGCCGGCCAGAGAGAACGACGAATTCAATGCTATGCGCAGTGAGGCCATTGCAATGGCCACCAAAGCCGGTGGCAAGAAGGTCTTTGGTGGCGGTGGCCAAAACATCGTAGACCATAACATCAAGAAGATTCTTGACAAGGGTTTCTCCGAGGAGGAGGCCAGAAGCGCCCTGCACGTCACCCGCAACAATTTGGAGCGGGCTCTGTTCAACCTCAAGCGCCGCAAAGATTCCGGCAGTGGGCCCGTCGAAATGGACGTGCGGCCCGGTCGCAGTGAAAGGCACGGCAGAGATGGCAAACGAGGCGCCAGCAGCAAAGATGAAGCCGAGGCAGCCAAACCAGCAGCCAATGCCACTCTCTTCGATTTTCTCACAACTAAACTGCCCGCAACGGAGGCAGGCACAAGCGTCACCACCACCGAATCCTCCGCTGTCGCATCCACTGCCAACAGCTCAGTATTCAAGCAATTTGGCTCCCGGTTCGGGGAATCTTCAACGGCTAACAAATTTTCAGATCGTTCTCGCTTCGAGAACAATGTCTCGAGCAGCTTTGCCGCTAATCGTGGCGGTTACTCTGGCCCAGGTCGTGGCGGGGCGCGTAACAGAGGCGGTGGGCGAGATGAACGTCCGCCCAGAGAGGAGCGACCGGCACGAGATGATCGCCCACGTCGGGAGGAGCGGCCACCTAGAGATGATCGTCAACCGAGGGATCGCGGGGGTGCATTAAATGACCGGGGCAGTGGACGCAACAAGCCAGAGCAGGCACCAATAAAAAATTCCAATCGCAATGGCCCTGAAAATCCACCAATAAAAAGCAATCCAGAGGTCAAATTTGAGCCGGAGGCTCCGAATTCCAAGGACCAATCTGCTAACCGTCGTGGGAGTGAGCGTCGAGGAGGCGGCTCATTGCGTGTTGAGAATGGAACTGGCAACAGACGACGGCCGCAGGGAATTAATTCGGGAGCAGGAGCTGGAACTGCAGCAGCTAAGCCAGAGCCTAAGCAGCAGAACCATTCGGGTGAGGACTTCAATTCGCGCCTGAACAAAGTCACCGAAGACACTGCAAATCTTAAAGTGAGTGCACCGAAACGAGAGAGTCAGCCACGCCGTCAGCGAGGCCAAGGACAGCCGAACCGTCAGCCAACGGAGTCTCCGCAAACTGCACAGGGTTCACAGTCTTCACAAAAGCCCGAAAGGGCCCCGCAGACTTCGCGGCAGCAGCATCAGAACCATCAACCCCATTATAATCCATTCAAGCAATCAATTGCCAACTACAGTCAATTGCCCAACGGATATACATATGACCCCAGCAAGATAATGGGTTTCCAGAGCAAGGAGACAAACGAGTTCGCAATGAGCCTGCTGAAGAGTCAGGGCACGGGTGCCTCGGCTGTCTCTGCTACCTCGGCTGCTCCAGCGGGGTCTATGGCAGTCCAAGAAGTTCTGCAAGTGGCAAGTCAGCCGTCTCCGCCGTCTCTTTTTGCCGGCATCAATCCTCAGCCACGGGCGGTGACTCCTGGAGCGGCACCCCAGCAATTTGGAATGTTGCCCTGCCATGGATGGATGTGGGAGAAGGGCGACTTGTGCATGGCCAAATACTGGGATGATGGGCGCGTAAGTTTCAAAAAATTCCATTTCTCGACATTGACCCCCACTAATTTGACCACCTTATCCCCAATTCCGACAGTATTATGAGGCTGAGATAACGGGAGTCTCGGATAAAACTTGTGTGGTCTTCTTTATGGGCTACGGAAATCATGAGGAGGTTCTTAAAGGCGACATTCTGCCCATTACAGATGCCCAGAATAGGCCCCTGAGTAATGTGCAGCATGGGGCACCGCAGCCGCTGCAGGAGCAGAACCAGCCCCAGCATCAGTTACAGCAGCAGCACTCGCGTTACCGCAGCGATCGCCAGACCCAGCAGCAGCAGGTATATGTGCCACCGCATAAAAGAGAACATTGAGAAAGCCCTTGAATTCACTTATAAATCCATTGAAATTTTTCGAATAAACAACTTTACAGTGTTTTCAAATTATTAACGTCGCTCACATCAAGACTACTGTACGCAGATTCGTTAGTTGCATAAAGAGTATAGTGGATAGGGAGCCAGGGTCTTCGGCTCTTTTTGACGTGGGTAGTATTAAATTTGAAGGGGATGTGAGCTCAGAAGCAAAAAAAGATTGCAAATGTTTCAAGGCCTAAAAATTAAAGCTCATACATATTTATGTACATACATTTATCTGAAAAGATTTTCCTGTAAGAAATGAATTTGGTAGCAATGAAGTCGTGAAGCGACGGCGATTATATAATATGCACACAATTTAAAATAAAGCAGTATAGAATCTGCGTGTA